GTCACCCACTTTCAACTCAAGAACCGAAAAGCTATAGGCTGGAACTTTAACAATATGTACCGCATGCGCGACCCTCCCGTTTTAATTTCATTCCCTCGGATGCCTGGGTGTCGCGTACGGATGCTTTAAAGAAATATGCAAATTTTTTGGCAGGAAGGCCATCTCGGAAAACACATGAGCTAAGGGGCTAAAACTTTGTAGGAATATTCCCTGTGCATTTGCTATCCAAAGGTTTCAAATTCAGCCCCCGGTATGCGTCGTACTCATGTAAGGGGGCGTATGAAAGTTTTAGGAGGGAAATTGCTGACTTGGATACCAGGAAGGCTAGAAAGGTGAAATTTTGTGGGAATGTTCCTTATCCAAGTACAACTCAAATATTTCAAATTCAACCCCAAGCTATGCGTAGTACTCAAGCAAGGGCGTATAAAAGTTTCTGCGGGAAAATTATTAACTCGGCAACCAGAAGAGCTGGAAGGCTGAAATTTTAAGGGGTTTTCCCTGTCCCCGTGCAATTTAAAAATTCCAAATTCAGCTTTCCAGGCACGTGGAGTAGCCAAGTACGAGCATTTGAAGGTTTTGGCGGGAAAATTGTTAACTCGGTGACCAGAAAAGCTGAAATCTTGAGAGAATATTCTCTGTCCAAGTACAATGCAGGTATTTCAAATTCAGCCTTGAGGTGTGCGTGGTTCTTACGTACGGGCACTTAAAAGTCTTGAAGAAAAAAATTTCTCACTGAACAACTAGATTAGTTTTAAAGAACGGTTGTTAGATGGAAATTGTACATTTACTTTAGAAAATTTATGGTGATTTATGCTAGTGACCGCAAAAGGTAGGTGTCCATTCACACAGTTAATGAATGGCTGTTCCTTTACACCTACCTTCTGAGTAATTCAAGTCCGGTGCAAAAACACATGATCGCACGGACCTGTCCGGTGCGTTCCAGCCTTGGTAAAATCTTCGTTCATACGCGCCTAGATTTCGCGTACGGACTCTCTAAAAAATATGCAGATTTTCTTAGCGGGAAACGATTTTGGGAATCAGGCAAGATAGAAAGTTGAAATTTCGCAGGGATGTCGTATGTGCTTGTTTGAGCTAAAGATTTCAGTTCAGGTGTCGCATACGTTTGTGCAACGCCTATGGTTACATCAAAGTTTGCGCCTGGAATTGTGCTAACTAGGGAACTAGCCGGAAAACAGTGGCTGAAATTTTGCCAGAATATTTTAGCCCATATGGGAAATCGTATAGCTAAGTGTTGTAGAAATTTTAAAGATACAAAAAGTGAATATTTCTGACAAGGGATTGAAGAGAACGGGGTCCTGAAATTTTCTATGTGCTAACATACGCAGTTTGTTTGGCGTTATTGGCCCACCGTGGCGAGGAACACAATCAAATTTTGGCAACTAATGAAAAACTGGAAGTGGCATTCAGATCTCCCAAATAAGCAAGCCTGTATATGCAGTGACATGGTAACCAGCCTGTGTTTCATTCCTGAACTGTAAACACAGGCGACAGAGTGGGTTACAGCGCCCCATTCCGCCATGTTGAAGGGAACATGTGGGTTACCGGAGGGAGATGAAGGAAAGAAGGGAAATAAAGGTGACTGTGCGGAAGATTAATGTTGCAGCAGTAGAAAGAAAAGTAAACTAACATTTAGCAATTAAAATTTAGTTCTCTCTTCGTTTTTTTCGTTAGCGGTTCACTAAATAACGCCGTGTTAGCTGAAAATTATCAGTCACACCAGTTTAAGTGCGTGCCTCTTCTGTCGATGCAATGAGATCTCATCGGTGGTGTCCTCACTGATTTGTCAGCCCGTTATGGACTGGCAGAAATTTCTAATCCCCTCGTTACCCACGCCAAAGAATTTGCTCAAAATGGTTCGATTCCGGTGACTAAATTTTAATAGAGTTCTCTGTATTCTATTGGAATTATATCCTCGACATTCATAGAATCTGTGAATTGTACCATGTGAATCAGTGAAGTGTACCGCTAATTCTCGCATATCGGAGTAACTGGGACATAACTATTCCATTCTGTATGATGGGGTTAACATCGCTATCCGAATGGCTTGCTTTTTTCATGGGGAAGGGATAATCCAGAGTTTTATTGTTAGCATCAAACGCGCACCGTCCGCCAACAAACTGATTGCCAGGTCAAGTAAGCAGGCATACTGTCCAGAAAAAGTAGTATTTAGTGTAAGGATACTTCAGCAAATGTCTTTGGTGATGTCAGGGAAATTCGGGCAATCGATCACCAGAATATCATCGATGCAGTGGAAGAAACAAAGCCCAACTTTCGGGTGTCTGCGAACATAACCGAATTCCATCGCGTGAGATCCGCTATATCAAGGCAAGCGCTTCCCACCATGGAGACACCCTTCTTCTGCCTGAACAGATATCCACCAAACCTGACGTAATGACATGCAGGGTCGTCTTGGCCTCTTCTATACTTTAGCAGGCCAAATCAGTACGAATTTTATTAGTGAACCATACTGATCTGCATCCAACAGCCACATATTTCTTACATGCGTCAGAGAAACATAGGTCGATCAGATAATTCAAATTGCTGGCAATCTCTGTATGCGGTAAGGTAGTAAAGAGATGGCTGAAGTCCACAGAATAAAGATAACTGGTTTCGGAAGTGAAAGCACGAAGCTTGTACGGAAGTGTATTTGAATTTGCCACACTAAAACACAGTCTATCCAGTAATTACAGTAATTTTGGAAGTGGGTCCTGAGACGCACGAGAATTCGATGTAGCATAATAGATAACCCTCTTAGTAAGGACTTGTTAGCTGCAGCTGTAAACCTATAACCATAAGGATCCTTGTGCAGCTTAGGAGCGGTACAAATTTTTGAGTTGCGAATTTGAGTTCCGACTTGCAATTGCACCGCGACTTAGGGCACTTCAAAAGTATATGTAGTGAAGCGGCTATTTCGCTTATCGGATAATGTGCGAGGCTGAAACTTTGCAGGGTATTCTAATTTCAAATGCGGTCTTCTGCTTGGAGATGAAATTCCTCGCAAGTGGTTTTGAAAAATACTCAACGTTACCGCAAACTCAAAAGCGAGTGCATTTTGCAGCAAATGACCGCTCTCATTATCTTCCAACATCCAGTTCATTTACATATTTCGATTTTTTGGCAAACGACAGCTCTAGCAACATTTTCACTTTCCAGTGAAGAACTGAAACTGAATGTTGGGAGAGGATGAGGACAGTGGTTTGCTGCAAAATGCACTGTATCTGAGTGAAATCTGCGCAAAAAGCTGAGCAAAAACGCATGCTCGGACCGGCTCGCCTGGTGCGTTCCAGCCTGGTTTTGCAAATGAATTATCCAACCGGGTTTAAAGTACATTGGTTCAATGGCCAACGTCCGAGCCAAGATAATTTCTAGGGCTCTTTTTAAAACCCATACAAATAAGATAAAGCACCTGTGTGTATTTTAAAAACAGTTTTTTCAGTTCAGGTTTTTTTACGTCGTACACGGACCAGATGACATATTTCCAACGAGCGGCAAATCTATTTTTTATAATTCTTTCAAAAAATTGGTTTGGACAACTGTTTGCGAAAGAACAAGCACTTTTCCGTAAATTATACGGCGAACAGTTCATCGACTTGCATGTAAACATTATATCACTTGTTTTTTATAATTTCGTAGCAACTGCATATATTAAATTTTCCAATTTCCACACCTGTACTTTTTAAATTATGATTTAGTTTTTCTTATTGTTCCTTACCACATTTTTGGTGCATTTTAACAATAGTCATCGATAAGCAGGGGTATTCGTAATGCGTTGAAATACAAGCAGAAAAGCCACTGATTTACCAGACTGGCCAAGGAACTTGCATGTTCTGTTTGAGATGGATGCTGAAAACAAAATCGCAGTTTATGGAGGAGCCACTGTTAGCTTAGATTCGATCCAGGCTATGGTTTAATAACTGTTCCATGTTTCTAATAAACAGCTGGTGCCTTGTTGCTTTGGCAATTAGCACTTTCGTTGACCATCAGTTCTCAGTTTTATTGCACCACTGGAGCGCCAGTTCCTCGGCCCCATGACTCGTTTCGACAGCGAATTGACTCTGGTTCGTGTTGCTGTTGTCAGCTTATTTTGAGTAGTTTTTGGAAGGGATAACTATATAAAATCTTGAGAGAAAATGCTGCTTTCAGCAAAGTGCTGCCACCTTTCGAGCTCCTGCCATAAAGACCATAATAACAACCTGAAATTATGCCCGAAGTTACAGGTCAAGACTGAGTAGAGTCCAAATATGGATTTTTCTGTGAATCAGACTCTTCAAATGTTGTATACTTTGACTCAGAGCTGAGAAGTGAATATAAAATTGAGGCCAGAAGGAGTTAAGTAATTGTCATTACTCTTAATGCAGTTAGTTAAAACCGCGGCTCCTCCGTTTTACAGTTGCAATAAACAAATTTTACGCCTGAAGTAATAACCAAGACAAGAAAGAGCATTTAAAATTTCCTCACTTTCTAGCTTTATAAATTGCCTGACATTATTTCGCATTTCAAATTTTCAGGAAAAAATAGCACAAGCAAGTTATGTGCTGACCAACGCTGATCCATTTTTTGATTTTCCGAAACCGAAGATTTACAAATTAAAAGAACTTGGAGGTGTTGCTGTTCCAAAAGCGAAACCGCTAAATAAGGTACATTAAATTACGCTTCTGCACTTTTACTAAATACCACACCTAAATTATTAATCCTCCCAATCTGATGCTCAACTTCGAGGCAAAATAAACTTTACTTCTGACCCTAGCGCTTTATCCTCGAAATGCAAAAGTTTCTAGTGTCTTATCGCCAAATTTGACCCATATAAATATAATCATTAGTTTTTTGATTCAGTGAGACTTCTGAAATGTCTTAAGTACGCTTTTCCTGTGCCTAAAATTTAGCATATTTTTTCCATGTGACTTTTAATAAAGCCAGCCTTCTGGAGCTGTTGTTGCTCTGCATTCGTGATCGGCATTCTCTAGCACTGGTCAGCGATAATGAATCAACGAAAGAAAGTGGTACTTGTATCGTTCGGTTCCGTGGTAGCCAGCTATATGATGCCAAATGAAACAAAACAAGCTTTCCTCAACACATTCGATCGGTTCCCAGATGTGACGTTTATTTGGAAGTACGAAAAGGAGGAACACCGTATCGCCGATGGGCATCCAAATGTGATCACCGATAAATGGCTACCGCAAACTGACTTACTCGGTAACATTATTTTTGCTCTGAAGAGAGCAGTTACTATTATCGTCGGTAGATAATTGCTGCATTTAACAAATACAAGGTTATCTGATATGTTTGTCTCCTAATCGAGGGCTTTCCATATTAATACAGAAGCGCTACCGTTCCAGACAAGGTGATGATGCTCAGTGTATACCAAGGATATCTCGAAACTATAAAAGCCTTGTCAAGAGATTTTTCTGGAAAAACTGTTGAGCTCGCGCTTAGAAAACAGCTGCTAGCCAGTTCAGGTAATGAAACGAATACTGAGACTGCCAGCAGGCCCAAAGGAGACGATACGATCATCGCTGGTCAGTGCAAGTGAAAGAACTTTCGAATGCGCAGTGTGGGACACTAGAGTGTAAGCCATACCAGATGTTCCGAAAATAAGCTCTCTGACAAGATCATTTTTAAAGGTACACATACAGTAATTTTGGGAGGTTTCTAGCACATCCAAATTTGGTGGCATTTCTGACGCACGGTGGTATGAATAGCATCACAGAAACG